CATTGAAATCTGGTATCCCGCACAAGAATCTGGTATCCCGCGGATATCGGGATACCGCTAATTTCGACCCCTGCTGATGATGTGTTATAATTAATGTTGACAATGTTGTAAAAGAATACACGTACAACTTTTGTTTATGTATAATATTATATATATAGTTCATTGTCTATCTTACGCTATATTACTAGCTCTAGTACTATAGCCTGCATACAGTTGCGGAATATGCTGTAGTAGTAGTAGAGCTAACGCTATACATAATAGCGTTATATAGCATATATAATAGCATAATATACCGTAGTTAGAACTAGAATAGTAGAAAGTAGGGCCCAAGGATAGAGAATTAAACATGGGTCCCAATAAAACCAATGTGCTTAACCCTAACCCTAATCCTAACCCTAACCATAACTCTAACCTATTATATTGATATAATATTATATTTTTATTGATGTAAATGACATTGGTTTTATTGGGACCCATGTTCTCTATCCTTGAACCGAAAGGAGACGTTGCTAGGGCAGTATACTAGGGGCTAGCTCTAGTACTATAGCCGCTTACATTAACTGCCGCTGGCAGTTATTGGCCGCCAGCGGCAGTTAATGTAAGCGGCTATAGTACTAGAGCTAACTAGGGGCCTACTGGAAGTTAGTTAGACAGCGCTTACTCTTCTAAAAAGTCTTGAAATAGTTTTTGACAACGGTCTCCAACATCGTCTTTCACCCTTGCATTTCCAGTCGTATGATCTGCTACATCCATTTTACTAAACGCAGTAATAAATAATCGGTTAGCAATGTTTATAAGTATAACATTCACAACTTCCGTTCTCCCATGCTCAGTTTTGGCGCGAAACTTGTGCATGCATAAGGTTAAACAAGAGAACAGCCCACATTATTTTCTTCTTCACGCGTGCTTATCGTTTTTCTATCAGTTTTCCTATTAATGCCATGTTAATACTAGGCAAAAATAGCGTCAGATATACCTATAAAACATTTTATACGTGTTCACAATTTGTGTTACTTGATTAAATATATATGAATAAATATTCATTGCAATCTCAATCTGCATGGTTCAATAACTAACTGGAAACTAAAAATTTGTAAGCGTTTTAGTTGGCTATCTCTTATTCTGCACATTTTTTTAGATATGTTCGGAGAAGGAACTGCGCGATGCGTGGTTGTCAATGTGCGATAATTCGTAATATTTTGATATATTTTGAATGACTCATTCATTCTAGAAGGAGCGGTCGTCTCGAACATTCTGCCTGACGTCATATCCACGCGCGGCTGTTATAAAGCGGCGCCACCGGATACGCGGTCTCTTTATTTCTCAACGTGGTGAAGAAGAATCTTCTTTGTTACCTTGCTGAACTTTGTGCGCCATAACAGCTTGTGTAGATACTGTAAATAATTAAAAGGTACGTATTATTGTAGTTTAAGATTTATTTTGAATGTATGTTTTGGTTCCAAGTCAGATGACTGAGTTTATAAGCCTGATTTCATGGATTGATATTCGCACTGTTTGAGGTTGCCTTTCATTCATTGAAACGTGACCGCCATTCTTAGAAATAGCCGAATTTTCATTACCTTTGGAACTAACTTGTGCAGGGAAATTTTGCTGCAGTAGGATGAAACATATTTGAAACGAACGTGTTTCTAATTGTAGGTTCTATAACAGTTAACATGCAAGTATTTTGATATATTCTTTCTCATCTTGTACTTGTAGCGTAACTGATTCGAATCCAATAACCAAGCAAAATGGCATCCAAAGCAACGGCAATCGGTATTGATCTTGGAACGACATACTCCTGTGTCGGAGTATTTCAGCATGGCAAAGTTGAAATCATTTTCAACGATATGGGCCACAACACCACACCCAGCTATGTATCATTTACGGATGAAGAAACACTCATCGGTGATGCAGCAAAAACCCAGGCTGTAAAGAACCCGATCAACACTGTCTATGGTAAGTTGTACACAAAAAAGTGGCTATTTTTAAACTGCATTACTTATATCTTAATTGACTTGGTTTGTGGTAACATGTGGACTTGTAAATGTAAGTGAATAATTTGTCTCTGGAAAATTAGTACATGTGTTATTAAATACCATACGCGGTGGCTGGAGGTACGGCAGCCGTCGTTCGTTGAAGCCTCTTTTTGGCGTTGGGGTTAAAGTTCTAGCTCATCTAAACTATCAAATCGTGAATTTATTTCCCAAGGCGTTATTTCGAAATCTGGCGCCACTTGTCGCCATCTTTGTCTCGTTAAGTATTAAAGCGAATGGACTGCCGTACCTCAAGCCTCGAGACATTAAGATACGGCTGCCGTACCCTTAGCCACAGCCTATTAAATATGTCAACGATGAGGAAAAACGGGTTTTTGTGGTTTCATGGCTTAACTGCTATGTTGACTTCCATCCCTTGGCTGTCTGAGTTGACGATAATCACATGTATTCCTTTACCTTTGTCCTTAAAAAAAAATTCACGCTGTACAAATCTAAAAATTTATAAATGAACATTGATCTGAAATATTGAAAGCATACCTGTATTTTAACCTCTGACAGTTCATATATTTTTGTATGGTGACGTCTTTTGTAGATGCTAAGCGATTGATTGGAAGGCGTTTCGAAGACACAACCGTCCAGCAGGATATGAAACACTGGCCTTTCACAGTCGTCAGCGATGCAGGCAAGCCCAAGATCCGCATAGACTACAAGGGTGAGAACAAACTGTTCTTCCCAGAAGAAGTCTCGTCCATGGTACTAAACAAGATGAAGGAAACCGCTGAGGCCTACCTCGGAAGGGTGCGTAATCGCTACGTTGCATCTTAATTGTTGGATTGATAGATGAAAGGTGAAGGTTGCCACGTGGCGTATCAAGAGCAATGATGAATATTTTTCCTCATTCGCGGTTTCCACCAGAGAGGTTCCCGATGCCTCGGTGAGGGATTTTACTTCCTTGGATGTCTGAGCTCTTTGTTGATGAGCGTGAATTCACCTAACAAGTAGTAAGCAATGTTTACACTGGTGGTTTTTGTTCTTACATGGAGGCTGGGGGTAACAGGGCACTAATGTATGAGATAAATTTCTGAAACATGAAATTGTTGTTGTTTATGCTGACGTTCTATAATCTAGGTAACGTACTAGTGTGATATACAACTGAACTTTTATTTTTTTGAACAGACTGTGGCAAACGCTGTAGTAACAGTACCAGCCTATTTCAATGACAGTCAGCGGCAGGCAACGAAAGACGCCGGCACCATTTCTGGTCTCAATGTCCTACGTATTATCAACGAACCAACAGCTGCAGCTATTGCATATGGACTTGACAAAAAAGTTCAGGTGTGTGCTAGTTATATTCTTTCTTGGGTGTATGTGAAGTTAACAACTACATGAAGTCTACATGGTTCGCACAGTCCTTGAAAAGTCCTTGAATTTGAGGGTAGTACTTGAATTTAGTAAATGTTGATTTTGTGCTTGTGTTTTTGGAATGAATCCTTGCCTGTATTAAAAAAAAAATTGTACCGTCAATATACCAGGTCGTGATTTGTATCTGAACTCCTTGTTGCTGCTGCTGGTATCAAAACCTAAATGTACCCATTGTATTTATCGGTCATTTATATAAGGTTTTGTTGTTTGTTAGGGTCATGGAGAGCGCAATGTACTCATCTTCGATCTGGGGGGTGGTACTTTTGATGTCTCAATCTTGACCATTGAAGACGGCATCTTTGAGGTGAAATCTACTGCTGGTGATACGCATTTAGGAGGTAAGGAACCAGTCGTCCTTCAATGTGCCGCGTAAGACGTAGTGTGGTGCTCGATACGTGAACTTTGCATGGGTGTTGTACGATAAGATGCACTGTTATCAGGTTTTAACGATTGCTATGTAAATATTTTCAGGAGAGGACTTTGACAACCGCATGGTCGCTCACTTCATGCAGGAGTTCAAGCGCAAACACAAGAAAGATATGAGTGCCAACAAGCGCGCAGTTCGGCGTCTAAGCACAGCCTGTGAGAGAGCAAAGCGCACCCTCTCCTCAAGCACTCAGGCTAGGTGTGTGTGCGTGCGTGCGTGCGTGCGTGCGTGCGTGCGTGCGTGTGTGCGTGCGTGCGTGCAAAAACTTATTCATAATCCCTAGTAATGAGGGTTAAATGGGGGTGGGGGTTATTGTGCACCTATGGGAAATCTGGTGCAGAAACATTGGGGAAATGTTTCAGTGTGAAAGTGCGTCATGTGAATTTTTTACTGACAAGTTATCTATTTGTATTTAAGCATCGAGATCGACTCTCTGTTCGAGGGCATCGACTACTACACGTCCATCACGAGAGCTCGTTTCGAAGAGCTCAATGCTGATCTCTTCCGCGGAACCCTGGAGCCGGTGGAGAAGGCCCTGCGTGACTCCAAGATGGACAAGGCTCAGATCCACGACCTTGTGCTTGTTGGAGGCTCAACCCGTATCCCCAAGATCCAGAAGCTCCTGCAGGACTTCTTCAACGGCAAAGTATGTCTAAGAGCGTTTGGGCCATTCATCTCATTGTCATGACTCGTGATTATAGTTGCCGTGTATGCGATAAATTGGGCGTTTAAGTTTACCTTGCTCTTCTCTGTTTGTGTTCTTAGCATTTTATGTGCAATGTTAATGCAAAACTCCTTTCTCTCCAAAGGAACTGAATAAGAGCATCAACCCGGATGAGGCTGTGGCGTACGGCGCTGCGGTGCAGGCAGCCATCCTGTCCGGAGACAAGTCTGAGGAGGTGCAGGATCTGCTGCTGCTGGATGTGACGCCGCTGTCACTCGGCATCGAGACCGCTGGAGGTGTGATGACGACCCTCATCAAGCGTAATACGACCATCCCCACGAAGCAGACGCAGATCTTCACAACCTACTCTGACAACCAGCCTGGTGTGTTGATCCAAGTCTACGAGGGTGAACGAGCAATGACCAAAGACAATGTAAGTGTTGTATAGTATTATCTTCATTGGCCTTGACAAGTTGACATTCGGCAGTTATGCAATACATGAACTTATCTTTGAACGTCTCTTGACTGATATCAACACTAATTTAATTTTGTTTTTGTGAAACAATTTTGCATGCTTAAGTAGTCCTGTGTTAATTTTTCAGAACTTGCTAGGCAAGTTTGAGTTGACTGGTATCCCCCCAGCTCCACGAGGAGTCCCTCAGATTGAAGTTACCTTCGATATCGATGCTAACGGCATCTTGAATGTGTCGGCAGTCGACAAGAGTACTGGCAAAGAGAACAAGATTACCATCACAAATGACAAGGGTATGTCCATCTGGTTGTATGGCGAAGGGGATATTCTATTTTTATGTACAGAGCAATGATGAATATTTTTCCTCATTCGCGGTTTCCACCAGAGAGGTTCCCGATGCCTCGAGGAGGGATTTTACTTCCTTGGATGTCTGAGCTTTGTTCGCGCAGTCTTATTTGGATTTCTAATAGCCTGCTCTGTGTTTACTGAGGTAGAATTGGCAACGTAAATGTATATGGAAAAGATACTGCTTTCAGTAGAATTCACAAAACTTGTTGGCAGCATGCAGACAACCGTGGTACTCACTTCGTGAATTGTTTTTGCAGGTCGTCTTGGCAAGGAGGAGATTGAGCGCATGGTGGCAGAAGCAGAGAAGTACAAGGGCGAGGATGATGCACAGAGGGAGAAGGTCACTGCCAAGAATAGTCTAGAGAGCTATTGCTTTAACATGAAATCCACTGTTGAGGATGAGAAGCTCAAGGACAAGATCTCTGAAGATGACAAGAAGGTGATCCTTGACAAGTGCAACGACACCATCAAGTGGCTCGATGCCAACCAGGTAAAGGAAATTTGCACGGGCTTCAATTCGTTGTTTCTTTCTTGTCAGCTTTGATTGCAAGATGTGGCCCGTTTGGTGTTGTTGTTGGTGATGATGAATATTTTTCCTCATTCGCGGTTTCCACCAGAGAGGTTCCCGATGCCTCGAGGAGGGATTTTACTTCCTTGGATGTCTGAGCCAACAACTTCCGTTTGACTATCTGTGACAATATTTACATAGGTGGAACTCGCTAATGTCTTGGTGTTATTATTGTAGCTGGCTGAGAAGGACGAGTTTGAACACAAACAGAAGGATTTGGAGCAAATCTGCAACCCAATCGTCACCAAGTTGTACCAAGCTGCTGGTGGTGAGTTTTATGACATTTCTAAGCATAGCTGCTATAGTGGTTATTCCTCATTTGCAGTTTCCACTGAAGGTTGTGAAAGTTTTTGTTACATCAAATGGATTTTCAATCCACAAATTTCCCAATAGATAGCGAGTGTTTAAAATGGTAACGATAATTATTTCACTTTGTAACTTTGCAATCTCTACATTTCCAGACATGCCAGGAGGAATGCCCGGTGGTATGCCAGGGGGGATGCCTGGAGCAGGAGCTGGTGCTCCTGGTGCAGGAAGCGGTGGCTCCGGTGGCCCCACAATCGAAGAGGTCGACTAAATCAATGCTACTAGATCTACGGAACCAACAATCACCACTCAAGTCTGCTGATAACAGCCTAACTTGTCTGTCATTTAACACGCACTAAGTTGTGATATGTCTGTATTTTGTTTCAATACAAATTAATAGCTTGTCCATTTATGTTGTCAACGTGCACACAGTTTCCAATGTTTTCTGCTTTTCTGGGCTCCTACTTTGTTGAAATACCTAACTTGTTCGTTTGTATTTATTAATCGCAAGAGCAGATGTGCAGGAATAAAAGTCCATAAAATTTCACTTTATTGTTGTTGCATTGTGTATTGTTATACTGTCACAAATAATTTGTTGAAGCAACCATTTCTATACACATACAAGCTTGAATCGTACTTGGTTACACACCACCTCTGTTGAGCAATATCAGACTCGTAACGTCGGTGTATATAAGCGATTGAATTCACAAGAAATTTAATTAAACGTAAATTCACTCCACTGACATCAGTTAACCACGAGTAAAAACGTGGGTACGTTCATAATTTCGTACATATGCACATTTTCTATATAGGTGTTAGAATGACTAGCTGATGTTCTTTATAATCATTAGTCAATGAGTTTCTGCCATTTGTTGTACACGAGTAGTACTTTCACATGTCTGGTGTCTCTCCACAACCAGGCTGTATCACGACTTCTCCTCTGGCATTTTCTCGAAGTCAAGAAACTTTTCCTGCTTCACAGCGTACATGGAATAGAAATCTGAACAGGTGTTGGTCAAGGAATACAAATCGAATCTCTTCCTATTAATACGACGACACTATTTTACAGTTGCCACATATCTATAATATATACAATGGTATAAATGCATAATAAATATAATATGTAGGGTAGAATAGATGAATACATCTAATTTTACACTGGAAGTCAACAGGAAAACGTAAATCGTGTTACGGAATTTCGCGTCTTAGTACTTACGCGTTTACTTTAGGTTATAGTATTCTAGCTTTGCTATTAGAATTTAAATATAAGATCACTGTATCTCTATTCATTTCACAAGGGAAACAAGATATACAACCAAATTGTAATCACCATTCGAGCGGGACATGGAAAACCCAAAACAACTAAGACAAACAGTTAAAACCCAATGCCTGTCACACAATGGCACCAAAATTTATTGTCTGCCGATTTGCAATTTTTGTTGAACCGACTCGAGCTAGGTGATGATTGTATTGTTTGTTTTCACTCACTCTCTCTCAGAAAATAATGTAAAACTCAATAAAAAAGCATTGTCCAGTCGCACCCAGTTACTGCAAGCAAGCCACATGTTTACTGAATCACTTGGGCTATTACATGCTACGTACTCTAGTTGCAGCAATATTTAACAAGTGCCGCAGTGCGACAGGGATCATCTGGTGTTCTGCTGATAAATTCATAATAAATTGTAACAATTCAGAATAAATTGTAACAATTCAGAATAAGTCTTCTTTATTCTTGTTTGACTTTCGTAGCCAATTGGAGCTACACTTTCACACCCACCTAATCTCTATGCATTGCAGATACATGTGCATTGCAGGTTGGCAGGCAACAATTATGATTAGAAGCGTGCCAGCCATGGGCTGCCCCGTGTTTTTGCCTACCCACACGAGTATTCACTGATTCAGCCTTCAGGGTGCTATAGACAGACTGCTTTAGAAAATAATATGATTTAAGGAGTGTAAACCTTGTTCAACAAACATTTGCCTTTGCAATTAAACT